AAACAGATGGCTTTTTTTGGGGGGGTGAGGAAGCACCACTCAACCTCCTCCTCCTCCTCGTAGGTGATGAAGGCCATCAACGAGGGCTTCCGTCTCCCCGCTCCCCTGGATTGTCCCTCCGCCGTCTACCAGCTGATGATGCAATGCTGGCAGCAGGAACGCAGCCGGCGCCCCAAATTCGCCGATATCGTCAGCATCCTCGACAAACTCATCCGCGCCCCCGAGTCCCTCAAGGCGTTGGCGGACTTCGACCCCCGGTGAGCTACAGGACGGGGGCGAGGAGCGAGGAGGGGGGGAGAAGGAAGGGGGGGCGATGTCCAGCGTTGCGTTTTTCCGTGATCTTTTGCATCCCCGCGTTCTTGCGCTCGGGTTTTTCCTTCATCTCTGCGGTTTTGCTTTACTTTTTTTTTTTTTGTTGTTGTTGTTGTTGCATCTTGGCGTTCTTGCGCTTTTTTGCACCTCCGCACCCCTGCGTTGCGTTTTGCACCTCTGCACCCTCGCACGCTTCTTTGCACCCGCGCTTGGTTTTAAATTGATTTTTGCCGTTTTAATATTTTTGGAATTCTTTCCGACCCCCTTCGCATTTTTCGAATCATTTTGCGTTCTTGCCTTCCTCCCTGCTGCTTTGCATCTGTGCATTTTAGCTCTTTTTTTTTTTTTTTTTCCCCCCCTTTTGGCATTTTCACGTTGTTTCTTGCTTTTTAGCATTCTTGCCTCTATTTTTTTTTTTTTTTGCATTTCCGCTTTTTGCATTACTTTTTGCATCCGGGCGCTTTTGCATCGCCTCTCGCTTTTTATTGCACTATTCGCATTATCCTCTTGCTTTCCTGCATCCTGTTTTGCCCTGGGCTTTTGCCGTTACTTTTTGCATCTTTACATCGGTTTGTGCCTCTCCACATCCTGACATCTAACTGTTGCTTTTTTGCATTTCTGCGTTGTCATTGGGGTGGGTTTTTTTCTCTATTTCTGCATCATTTTTTTTGCACCCTTCCTTTTCTGCCTTCCTTCTTGCACTCTTCCATTTTCGCACAACTTTTTGCATCTTTGCATTTCCGCGGCATTTTTCGCATTGTTTCTGAGAATATTTCAGATATTTCTCTATATTCCTTGGGTGAATTTTATTAGGTTCTGATACTTTGAAAATATTAGGTTTATTTAAATATGGCATAGCTTTCTCTCTCTCTCTTTTTTTTTTTTTTTTTTTTTTTTTTTTTTTTTTTTTTGCATCTTTGCACTTCTGCATCATTTTTTTGCATCCTTTCATTTCTGCATCATTTTTTGCATCCTTCCATTTAGCTTTTTCCCCCCACCTTTGCATTTCCACATCATTTTTTTGCATCCTTTCATTTTCACACTGGTTATTTGCCTCTTTG